CATTTTTTTTATTTCAAATACATACAGTGTTCAAATGTCACAAAGACCTTTTTAACTTTCTTAATAAACAATTTTTACTCAGAAGGCCATAAATATTATTCCTCCCTCATCATTACTAATACACAAAGAAACATGTATTTGTATTTATTCACTTTCTTTATGTAAAAATCTAAAGTTGCTCAGTCAAACTGAAGACACTATAAACTTTTTTTTCTCCTTAGCTCTTTCTTTGTGCAATTCTGCCACAGCGCCGTAATGAAGCTCTGCTCTGCCTGTAGGCCATTGTGAGAGCTACATACTTATGTGTTGGAGTCTCTGTGTAGCTTTTGAAACTTACAGTATATCTGTTCTAGTTGTATCGCCACTTTCTGGTCCAGCCCCATTCTGGTCCAGACCCATTCTGGTCCAGACCCATTCTCTGCTGCTTGTGTTCAGGAAACCATGGCGACTAATGGAGCATGTATGAGTTGGAGTTGGAGAAGATAAATATTGGGCAGAATTTGATTATTCTGTAGTTATTGCAAAAAAAAAAGAGAGAGGAAACATGGAAGGAGTGGACAGAATGTTCAACTGGTCAGCATTGTTAGCTCAGGCTACTATATTAGCCTACGTTTAACAAAGTAACGTTCATGATACAAAGAACATTTATTTATCTTCTCGTCTTAATTAGACTCTGTTTCCCGATGTTTTAGATTCAGGAAAATGTAGACCATCATTACCGGTTGAGATCCCCGCACCCGAGGCCACGTGGCCAATTGGTGCTGGCGGCGGATCGTCACTCAGAAAAACTCTCCCTCTTGAAATTACAGGGCTTGCGTAATTTCATTTTTGAGGACGGCCCGACGGGCTATGTAGGTGGGCTTCCGTTTTGGTATAGGGCCACATTTACCTTCGGCCTATGCTACGGCGTCGATTCCACATTTATATTGTTTCCGCAATGTCCCAGTCTGTGAATTTACATTGCGTACGACATTGCAGAAGCTCGAGTGAGCAGGACACAGTGGGAGCTTCACACATCATCGTACACACACACACACACACACACACACACACACACACACACACACACACAGTGCTGGCCCACCACTCTTATTCTTGTTACGCCTCTGTTACTACCTACGAAGGCAGCACAGAGGACGCATCACTTCGTCCCCCCGTTATGCCTTCACAACATTCATACTGTACTGAAGGGAAAATGTGAAAAACTCCTGCAGGATCACAGAAATCAACATCATCTTCTTTTACAAACTGGGACTCCAAATGAGTATAAAAAAAACCTGACTTTCTATATGTAATGTTTTTTGTTTAGAATTTCAGCTTAAGGGTCAAATTACAGTTGAACCTTCATCTTTTGGACACAGTCACACTAAACACTGAATCCCCTCCCCCACCCACCCAAGTTCTGTTGGCCCTCACTGTTTTTATGGACCAGTCTTCCTGTGCAGGTTTCTCAGAGGTAGACGGTACAGTGTCGGCCGTTCTGCCTGCAGGTGTTGTCGCACTGTAACGAGCCAACTGCCCTCACCCTCACACACAGTAAAGGTCAGGTCTCGCACCATCAGTGTGAAAACCCGCACTGAAAAGGGTAAAGTCCATCTGTTTTGAACACTACAGGACTGCTGCTGCTTCTCAACGTGCATCTGTATGTGCAGTGTGTACTTGACCTGACCTGCAGCAAAAAAAGAAAATGGCATCTGCTGTGATTTTTTTGTTTGTTTGGTAAACACAACATTTGCGTTGCTATGTGTGGATTGATAAAAACTGTGGTGTGTGTGGCCATTATAACGCCTGCGCCCTGATTCAGACTGACTCTAATGGGACAGCCTGGTGAATTTTTCATACAGCCCAGAGGGGGAGGACGAGCGAGCATACTGGCACATTACAAGCTCTGAGAGAGAGAGAGAGAGAGAGAGAGAGGGAGGGCAGGAGAGTGAAGGAGTAAAGTGGCATCCAGGTTGTAGCTATATTTGTCATCAGTGAATATAACAAAGAGTACAGTGTAGACCTGCTCTATTTGTTAAGAGTCTTGGTATAAGATTTGTACACTGAGCTATAAAGACACAGATTGATTGATTTGATATTAGCTGATATTAGCTGATGACGGTATAAGCTTAACTTTTATAGAAATGACAAGATGTGTTAACTACATCCCTCTGAAATTGCAATTTGTCCCCAATTTTTGCCCCAGGACAATTTCTACATCAAAATTATAGCACAAATATTCAGATCAGGAAATATCCTAAAGTTTTTGCAATTGCTTAAAGCATACCAATGAGTGTCATGAAATAGCACAAGTTAACAAACTGTAATCTTTTTATTTGGTTAACTTCGAAAGTGGATTTTTTTTGCTGTGATTGCAGCTCAGTTAAGTTTCTGTGCTGTGTTCAAGTCCAGTCGCTGGGTTTTTTTCACTCTCAGATTTGGTAATGCATGGATCCCTTTATTCCATGTTAAAACATACACGTTTTCTTTCATTCTTAGATAAATCTGTGATCTATCAAGTGCCAAACCGAGAGCAAGTTGATCCTGGTTTTTCTTTGTGAGCTTCATGTTTGAATAATGTCCAATATCTTGACTTAATGGGCTGAAATTTCTGCAAGAAAGCTCTTAAAAAAATTATCCATCTGTTCAATGCACACATGCCACGGCTCACTTGGATAGCTTGTAGCACTGTCTTAGCGTATGCAAATATGTTTTGCCTGGAAATCTATTTGGAGTTGCTCGAAGGAATCCAGAATGGCCCTCCTTCTGTCTCCCCCTCGCCCTGGCTCACACGGGGCCTCCCTCACGCCGTCTATCTCCTCTCGCGTGGAAAACACACTCACCAGCTCCACACGCACGGACACACAGTCAGTACACACAGCGGGGCCGCCATGCCTCAGACTGCTTCAAAACCACCACAGGCCAATATGCAGATCTCACAGGCCCACACTGGCGGGGGCCCCTGTCTGCGAGCGGGACAAGGAGCCCTGCAACGGTTTGCTCGGCTGGATAAAACATGCGATAGAGAAAGACAGAGGGAATGATTATCCAGTTTGTGAAGAGGACACTTATTTAGTCCTTCTGTTACATACCTACAGAGCTTTTTGTGGTGCACAAACAGGAGCATGTGTGAACAAGAGCATCTCTGCAAAGAAAGGGAGAAGATTTTATATTTATATTATTTTATCTACATTCAATTTACAAGAAAAAAAAAAGTTCTCTGTTAATATTTTTTTGGGCAGAACCCAAAGAAAACTTAAATACCCACCCAATCAAAAGATTTATAAGTGGGAGGTTTTGCATGCATGAATAATAAGTTCCCCTTTGCAGAGATGCAAAAAGATGCAAAAAGAAGGAAATAACAGACAGTGTGTGTGTGTGTGTGTGTGTGTGTGTGTGTGTGTGTGTGTGTGTGTGTGTGTGTGTGTGTGTGTGTGTGTGTGTGTGTGTGTGTGTGTGTGTGTGTGTGTGTGTGTGTACCAGAGGGCTTAGAGAAGCCAGGCCTGGGCAGATGGTCCACAAAGGTGTTACCTCACAGTGAGTGGGCACTGCGATTGATTCATTGCAACATCCAAGAAGGTGGAACATTTGGCTGCTGACCCGCAGTCAGAACTCGTTGTCCCAGCCTTCTCCTTATTTAGCTGCTCAAGAGAGCCAACGGCTGATTTGGAATAAACACACACAAATGCAGCACTTTCCCACCCTGAAGGAAGCCTACACGGGCTGTGCGCTGGAAACTTCTCCCTCCTCATCTCTGCATGGAGGTCAGGCAGGAGGAGGGCAGAGAGGAGGTTCAGTCTGATTTAGAACATCTGAGCTCGAGCTGCAAGAAATGTGTAATTCTCCAAGTCAAATCTGCTCTCTTTTACCTCTGTATCAAAAGGAGATGTTGGCACATCCAGCTATCTCATGAACTAGGTGTATAGGATGCAGAACTAAAGAATGTGAAAAGAGAACATGTTGCACACTCTTGCACAACATCACAATTTATATATTATTTAATTAAATTTATATATATATATATATATATATATACAAAAATACAAACAAAACATTTCTCTAATGATCTGATTATCATATATATTATATATCTATATTATGATCTGTATAGGACACTTTAAGACCCTTCATTTAGACAAGAAAAATGTTCCTCTGGGAAAAAAAGAAAAAAACCTTAGGAAGAACAAGCACAAAGGGATGGTGCGTAATAACAGCACCTGAAATCTATATTCAAAATGTGGATCCAGGAAGTTAACCACCTTTAAATGTTGAGAAACATGCGCACTGTGAAGCACATTCAAGTCAGAAATATTATATTAAAGTTGCTCATCAAGACAAGGAAAGTAAACTTCACCTTCATTCAGTTCAAGGATTTGTCTTGATAATAAATATCTAAAACAAGACCATCTAGGTGTGTCAATCTAAAAATACGATAGTAAGACTTGGTAAGAAAGGAAAAAAGACGATCATAGAGGGAGAAAAAGAAAAAAATGCAGATAGGGACATAAGGGAATTTTTATGTCTTTATGAGAAATAGAAATGTAGGAAAAAATGCCTCAAAGAAGGGAAAGCCTTCCAGTCTAGAGATTTAAATTGATCCTCATTGAAAAGGCATTTTATCAAAGCAGTTTAAAAATCATTTAAGGTGGCAGTATTAGTCCAAAAAACAGATCAATAAATGTTCAGGTTTCCTCACAGTTTAAGTAATTCTGTTAACTTGTTTTTTATATATATATATTTGCTGTTATGCAAAAAAAAAAAAGAACATGTTCACCTTCACCCTACATCTGATTTCTGATCATAATTCATTTTTGCTTTATCACTAAAAATCAATGATTGGTGTGAAATATGTGAGTTTGGTGTACCTCCTCCTCTGGCCAAAATTGTGCAATAATTTAAATTTCAAATAAAGGATTAAATAAAATAAATGGAATAATTCCACATTTTAAATAATGTCAAGAAGCTTTTACTCCTTTAAAATGTCTCAGAAGTAGATTTTAAAAAGTAATCTGCGAGAGTTCAAAGGAGAAATATTCTCTTTAATTACAAACATTATTAGTGATGCACATCATGGCATGATTTTATTTCAGACCCAAAAGCGTTTTTACATCAGTCAGAACATGGAAAATTCATGAGTGAGTAACCAAAGGCAACTTTCCAACCATGGATATTAATCATGATAATGACTAGTTGTGTCAGTGTTGCTAAATCATGAAGTCTACAGGAGGAATAAATATCCTCAGTGTCATTGGACAAACAAACATGTACTATGTACATGTGATAAATGTTACTTAAATACTCCACAATATTTTGTATTTTAACATTTAATTAATTTAATTTAATTGTCTTCTATTCTAAAAAGCTTCTCAAGCTGTGCTCTTGAATACATTATGTTACTTATTTACCATTTTTATATCTGCTTGATCTCCATCCCATAGATTCATAGATTTTGATAAAACATTGATTATTATTATTACATCCTTTTACAAAGCGATGCCAAATCCCTTAGAATGATGCAGATATGTTACTGCTTCAAGTGTCTGTTTGATGTGAACTAGAGTGCCTCCCAGTGGATACATCTGGTAACCTTTCTATTATTTACTGGTATTTACCAGTTATTCCCAACAAAATCAGAGAAAATATTCAAGAAGTTAAAATGTACAACAACTGATTTAAGAGTTGGAAGGGCATTTTAAATAAAATAGATATTCTTTTTTAAATTTCTTTACCTTTTTCTCTCTCTCTCTTGGTGTAACAGTAAACAAGAGATCTGTGGAGTTTAACATAAAACAACACTAAATCTAAGCAGGACTATGACACAGATGAGTATCAGTCCAACACAGATCTCTAAGGCCTCGTCCCTCTTCCCATTAGATTCCACCTCCAGTCAGTCATCGTCCACCACCATCACATTCCCGCTCAGCTCGTACTCCATGGTGGCCCAGTCGAAGATGTTGCCCTTGGGGACTTTGTGGCCGTAGTGCCAGGCCTGGATCATGCTCCTAGAGAGCACTAAGTCCCACATGTTCAGATCTGTCACCTCTCCGACGAAACTCTGCACGGCCTCCAAACCCCCCAGGTGTTTGTCTGGGTCCTGCCCCAGGAGGACGGTGCCCTTTGGACGGATGGTGTGACCTGGTTTGTACACCTGGTAGGTACTGCGTTTACCTTCAACCCAGAAGGCAGAGAGGCCGGTGCGGGACTCCCAGGTGAGGCAGAGGCTGGTGCGGAAGGTGGTGAGGGGTGGCAGGTGGAAGAAGGTCCCGTCACCGCTCATGTAGAAGGAGACTCGGCCGTCCTTCTCGCGCCACACGTTGAGCTCGTCGTAGTCGGCTGTGCGGTAGGCGAACAGGATGATCTGTCGCTCCTCTGGGAGCTCGGTGGCCACGCGCATGCAGAGAGTGAAGGCCTTCAGTCCCATCTCCTTCTGAGGGATCAGGGCCACGAAGCTGAAGTCAGTCTCATAAGGGAAGACCAGGACTTTGTCGCTCAGACCCACTAAAGGAATGCACCGGGGATGGTAGAGTTAATGAGAAAGAATGAGAAAAAGTAAAACCTTTTCAAGTTATGTTTTGTAAAAATACCTTGAGTGGCAGAAGAGAGTGTCATAGACCATCCAAAAACACCAAGTACAACCACAGCAAGCTTCACACTGTTGACTCTCTACAAACACACACAAAAACATCCGTTATCAACAGAAAACAATATTATAGCTGATATTAAAGGTGCACTGTGTAGATTTGTAACATAACAATAAGTAAGGTCTTTTACCTGATTTTTGTAACATAACAATGAGTAAGGTCTTTTACCTGCTTTTTGTAACATAACAATGAGTAAGGTCTTTTACCTGCTTTTTGTAACATAACAATGAGTAAGGTCTTTTACCTGCTTTTTGTAAAGTGTCTCCAGATAACACTTGTTATGAGTTGACGCTATACAAATAAAGATTGATTGATTGATTGATTGATTTGGTGGTGAAATTTGAAAGTTGGAGAAGTATACAATTCTATGTTATATTTTCTGAACTAAATACACAAACTTTATTCAAAGTAAAAAAAGGGTCCCTGGAACACTGTTTGGAGCTTATAAGCTACCAGGAGAGTTACGGGGTCACTGTTGCGGCCCCCCATCATAACTCCTCATGTAGCATTTTATCTTCAAACAGTGTTACAGGAACCAAATTTTCCTCTGAGGACATAGATAGTTTCTGTATAGAGTTATGAACATATACAACATAATCTGTACATTTCACCAACTTTCACATTTCTCTAATAAAACTTCATGCACCTGTAAGCAGATATTATGATCTGTGAACACAATCGACACATAAGAGAACAAATTATGTAACAAAACAAAAACATTGTTAGTTCTTACCATCTTGATGTTGTCAGTGTTCCTCTGTGTTGCTAACTCAGTCTACACCGCGTGCCTCGGTCCTCTTCCCTCCTAGCACAGGCCGTGATGTCAGCTCTTCTCAGGAGCACGCTCTGACAAAAGGCCTGGTGTGTGAGGCTCTGAGTGACGCTGCCTTTATTGTGTGACTGATGCAGAAACGTATGTGTCTCAATCACATGATAAACTTACAGAGTTGGAACAGTCTTTGGTAAGCAGATCTCAGATGTTTCTGCAGGGTTTTTTTTGTAGTTGGGTGTCTGTCACATCATTACAAAGGATCAGTTTGCCTAAATCATAACAGAAACCATGTGCTAGAGTTTTGAGATTTGTTCCAAATAAATTCAGTTCATGCTAGCCATCTGATAAATATCTGATCTGCAACAGTTTCTGTTGACTCTCTCTTTAAAATGAATACTTTAAAAGATGATGATTGAGGTTTTTCTGTCTTATTTTTTAAGTAGGACAGTATAGACTTAAATATGTCAATATTTGAGATGGGACTATTTGATGTTACTTATCAGGAGAAATGGATAAATCTGCACTAAGCTTCATCGTCCAGCCTAAGGTGGATGTCTACTGTAATAAGACCAATATATTCAGGCAAAGAGAAAAACACACTGCAGGGCTTCAATATTCCAGAAATTCATTTCACCAGGGTGATGTTTCAGAGCACACTCGCTCTTCATCTAGTAATTTATTTTTGCTTGACTCTGCACCTGCCCTATTGGGTTTGGATGTGCATGTTTCCTTGATTGTTGAGCAATTTATTTAGGAAATTTTGTTTTTTCATATTTGTTGAAATGAAGAGATGAAGCTCTCTTTAAATTAAACAGAATTCTAAGTAGAATGCAGATATAAAAACATCAACCTGTGCTTTAAAGGGTACAACTTCATGCATTCAAAAAAAATGTTAGCAGAAGAAGTGGCTTATCATTTACTCTCTGAATTGAAAGCAGTAAAATTAATTAATTATTTTCAGACTCAAAGTGAACATTAAGCTAACCCTAATGCTGAGAAGATGTAAGAAATGAGCAGGAGTTCAGTGTTCATCATACTCGGTATCTCTTTAATGATAAACTCTTATGTCAAAAACATGACAACAAACAAAAGTCAAAGGTCACGGTTTAATGGGGACAAATGAAAACAGAACCAGGCATTCATGTTATCAACATATCTACATTTAATACAGTTTGTCAAGCTCTAGGATTTCTCCAGTAAACAAGAAACCTATGTTGTCAAGAAATAAAATATGAGATACACAAGCAACGTATTTACAGAGCCTGCACGCCGACACACAACACCCACAGGCCTAAATCACCACAGACGCACAATCAGCTGGAAAACAAGTAAACTGATAGTGCTGAACTGAAAATGAGCTTGGATTGAGGTATGAATGAGATCCGATGGTCGTAACTCTTCCAGCATTTCAAACGGAGGATTGATTTGTGTACGCTGCTCTCATCGTATTCTGTTACAGGTGGAGAGAAAGTGTGTCAGATTAACAGCAAAAAGGAAACAAGAAAAACAGACATTTTCTTGCCTCTAAAAAAGGAAAATAAACTGAAGGTCATGCTTGATGATCTGATCTGATGTCATTCCAGGCAAACAGCACGAGCCAAACACAACGCCCAAACACATTTCTTTATGAAACCGACAGACAGCACAGACCATTTACACATCAACCAGAGCGATTGATGTCATCCACCAAAAGTCAAACATTTCAACACTATCCATTAATATCCAGCAATGTGAAAACTGTTAGTTCATCTTAGTGAGCAGTCATTGTTTTGTTTATATTTATATGCAGCTGTTGTTTCCATTCCATTTTTTTTGTAAAGAGTTCAAGGCCGCTTTTCATGAAAACCTTAGTTCATTGTCCTGATAAAAAAAAAACACATTTTGAATTACCGCAGGTCAAACCTAAAGAGTATATTGTTCATACATTCAACTCATTTCAATTGTCTGTAATGGGGTTGGGATTGATATGCAAAGAAGAAGAAAAACCCTAACAATCTACTGAAAACCTTACAGTATGACGTCAGGTGGGGAGAAGGGACCTAATCCTCTAGAACTACTCCTCATGTATCATGATGTAAAACTTGCATACAAACTGGTCAACCTCATGAGAACAGGTTTTTGGCATTTTAGATTCCACTTCAGCAAATATACATCAACAAGTGGAGGATGAATGAAAAAAAAAAAAGATCAAGAAATACTGTAGTAAATGCCAAATAAAAGGCCAATATCTTAATAAGTCAAACCACCCCGTATCTTTTTTTAAATATCGGTGGTTTCTGTGAAAGACTGGAGTGCAATGCTGATGCTGTAAAAGGATTGTGGCACTCAGAGAAAGAGAGAGAGAGAGGGAGAGAGAGAGAGGGAGGGAGGGAGGGAGGGAGGGAGTGAGACCTGAGAACATGGCCCCTTATTTTGACTAAAGAAAGGAGTCAAGCTTAGAAGACTAGAGATGTAATGACATGAAGTGATCGTAGAGAAAGAGCAGAATGAAGGAGGGCTTTAAAGGGAGAAGCAAGCCTGAAACATCAAGCCTCAGAAGATTGGAGCAAGAAGTTTTACAGCAAAGATAAAATGTGGGGAGGAGGAGGCGGACAGGGAAATATGGCTCTCGTCTGGTAGTCCTTAATGTGGCTTTGACTGCTGTGTAAAGTTCTTATCCAGGCAAGAGGGTGATCTGTTCTCTAAAGTCTTGTGTTGTCCAGTCTTTGTGTTGAAGGGGGTATGACGGAGAGAGGGGAGGCGGGGGGGGTCCCTTTAGTAGTCCTCCACCCAGCCGTTCTCCTGGATAAAGGCATCAATTACTTCCTTCATGGCCAGGTTTGGGATCAGCTGGTCCTGGGTCAGAGGACTCCTGGTGACCGGGTCAAAGTGACCCACTCGCTGCAGAGAAGCCGATGAAATGCTACTGTTAGAAGGTGTTGAAAATAATCTACTGTGCATCCTGAACATGGACCATTCAACATCAATGCAGTGACAGAACATCATAAATCATTGCATAACAATGTTGCTTGTAGATTTTCCAGTCTCTCTTTTTTTAATTTTGGTGAACAGTTTAAAGACATTTATGATGACATATGAATATTAACTCCCTTTGTTATTATATATAAAGTGCTTTAGAAATCAATGACAGCTCGTCTTCAATGATTATGAAGTAGCCATGTGCAGTAATATAGAAAATTTAAGATGGAACCAATGATGAGGCATTTTGATATCAAATCGTAGACAGGATAACTGTAATGGAATTCTGTAGTGAAGATGCACTAACTGTTAGCATCTGTGGTTTTAGCTTCTCGTGATATATGTCAATTAAACCATTTCATAAACTTATGAAAGGTGTATTTTTCAAGGTTACACTGAAAGTAACAAAGGAACTACACACTATAAACAAATAGTATACTGGCACACAAGTAATATTGAAGCAATTCATGGTAGTGAGATTTGAATATGATCAAAGACTGTACCCATATTAGACTTTCCAATACTCTTCATTTATACAGATCTAGAGTTCAGGTGAGACATCATTTTGACATTCTATATTTTTATGATCAAAGTTTATACTGATGGAACAGTTTTAGAAATTACAAAATGTGTAACTCACTAAGAGTGAGAGTGTAACTATGAGTGGAATTAAGACCACATTATCATAGGTGATGCATTTAACTATTGAATAGCAGGGATATTTTTTAAATTGGTCTTCAGCTGTTTGTAAGACTCAAATCTTTGTGGTCGTTATTTGTCTCTATACAAAAAAGTTTGTCAAATGGATGAATGTAAATTAAGTTTCAGCTTTAATGCTGTTCAAACAAACGACTTTGAATCTGAAGGTTGTGAAAATGACAGATCAGTTTTGTGGAACAGCATGGTTTGTATTTGGTACAAGACTGTACGAGATAATCAAGAGGAATTAAAACAAGTTTAGCCGCAGCAAAGTGAAAGATTAACAGGAACAGCATTTCCTGTTTTCACTGTGGCGTTCACCGAGTTTCTGCACAGACGTTCATACTTCTGTGTCCTCATCCTTTGCTTGTTTGAAGGTCATAGTTTTCTGAGAGTGATAACTTATGAACTGAACGTATTACCATAACAGAGGTAACTAGCTCAACATTTAACCTCTAAACTGAAGCATAGTGCTGCTCCTGCTGCTGCTTTTACCTGTAGGTGCTCTTCAATGTCCTTGCGATCGTAAGTGATTCCACTTGGTGTGATGCAGGGCTCCCTCATCAGCTCAAAACTGATCTTCCCACACAGGTAATCTGGGATCTCTCGCTTCTGAAAGGATAAAAGTAGATACAAATAGAGTCAAACTATTAAAAAGCATATATAAAATAACAAATGTCTAGTGGAACAATAATTTAGCTGACAAAATAAAAAAAATTCTGGGCTTACAGGGTTCCTGAAAGTTTAATGACACAGTGTCTTGCCAATCATACACACATAACTGTGTCTTTCCTTTAAAGCCTCATCATTTCTACAATGTTTAGATGGAATAATGTAACAAAGCTGTCAGGCTGACAATACACATTATGTTATATCCCAATTGTTGCAATTTAGGTAACACACACACACACACACACACACACACACACACACACACACACACACACACACACACACACACACACACACACACACACACACACACACACACACACACACACACACACACACACACACACACACACACACACACACACACCTCGAGGACCAACTAAGTACAGACGAATAATAAATCTCCACATGCCCTTGCAAACAAATACCGGCGGTTACCATAGAAACAGCTCGGGCTGGTAATAGCACACACAACGGTCTGTCTAGCTTTTGGTAAAAGTGCCTTCTCACAGATGCCCTTACAACTATCACAGAAAGCAGATAAATACAACACAGGGATGATGAATGTACATGTGCTTAATAAAACCTCAAATCATCTGAAATAAATAAGTGATCACAACTGCACACTAATCAGAAAATGTGCTTCCGTCCGTTTCCCTTGTTGCCATGTCAACGATCAGAGATGATGGTGTGAGGTAGGTGTGTATACTGTTGGTGAAGATGGGTTT